TGCACACAAGCAGATATTGACGTAGCTGGAAAACAACTAAGCCACAGGTAGGTAACCTTGGCTCTTTTATGACTCGTGGACTTCAACTCCCAGAATTCCTGAGCCAGCATGGGGGAACTACGGCCCCCTCATGATTTGTGGACTTCAACTCCCAGAATTCCTGAGCCAGCATCGGGGGAACTATGACCCCCTCATGACTTGTGGACTTCAACTCCCAGAATTCCTGAGCCAGCATCGGGGGAACTATGACCCCCTCATGATTGGTGGACTTCAACTCCCAGAATTCCTGAGCCAGCATGGGGGAACTATGGCCCCCTTCATGACTCGTGGACTTCAACTCCCAGAATTCCTGACCCAGCATCGGGGGAACTATGACCCCCTCATGACTCGTGGACTTCAACTCCCAGAATTCCTCAGCCAGCATGAGGGAACTATGACCCCCTTCATGACTGGTGGACTTCAACTCCCAGAATTCCTGAGCCAGATGGGGGAAACTACGGCCCCCTCATGACTCGTGGACTTCAACTCCCAGAATTCCTGAGCCAGCATCGGGGGAACTACGGCCCCCTCATGACTCGTGGACTTCAACTCCCAGAATTCCTGAGCCAGCATGGCTCAGCATGGAAACCTCTCCCTTTCCCCTCAGCATGGCTGGCTCAGGAATTCTGGGAGTTGAAGTCCACGAGTCATAAAAGAGCCAAGGTTGCCTACCCCTGGACTAAGCCCTTTGCCTTCTGACGGTCAGGCTGAAGCAGAATCTATGTTTGATCGGAATGTAAACCTCTTTGCAGGCCGAGGATCCAGTGATCCAGGTGGATAATGAGCTTAACGAACTATTTGAGGAATGCTCAGCCTTGTGAGGGACACACCGTCCACCCAAACACAGAGGTGGGGGTGGGGGAGGGATGTCTATGGAGAGTCTCAGTCATTCAGGTCAGGGTTGTCCCAAAGGTGTTTTTTTCACGAGGCAATTGGACTTTCTTGTTTTTCTTTGAAGATGTTTCGCTTCTCATCCAAGAAGCTTCTTCAGTTCAGTTCTGCAATTTAGCTTCACCTCAGAACAGGAGAAGCTTCTTGGATGAGAAGCGAAACATCTTCAAGGAAAAGCAAAGAGGGTCTAGTTGCCCCTTGGGGGTGGGGGATGGAAAACTAGCTAGGGGTGGATTAAAGGAGTGAGAGCGAAACAAGACCACCATGTGATGGATGGATGGATAGGTGATGACACATAGATAGATAGATAGATAGATAGATAGATAGATAGATAGATAGATAGATAGATAGATAGATAGATAGATAGATAGATAGATAG